GCAGTATCACAACCTTGCTTATGTGAAGGGGCACTGAACATTTCTGAAACCATTAAAAGCATCTTTAGTGTAAGCATTTCCAAACACCTCTATAAATCTGATAGATGATGATAGTAAACACTATAATTTTCATTTTATTTCAACTTGAATACAGTACACAAGAAACAGCTGATAAAAATGAATCTATGTAGTAAACAAATAAAAGTAAGCCTGAATAAACAAACTCAGAATAAACAGCACAAACCTCCAGTTGATGATGTTGCATGAGCAGAGGCTGCAGAGGAAGTTGAGATGGATGCACTCGTGGACTGTCGTGGCAATCCTGGCATTCCGCTACTAGCTGACGCCATAACCTTTGCTTTCTCTAATTTCTCCTCCTTTTTGCGAAGGTGCAAGAGATCTTGAACCTTTAAGACAAATTCCCTAACATATCATAACTTTTCAATTGCTAAGGCTGTTTTCATGTGTCAAAGTTCTTTCTTTTTTTTCTCTTTTTTTATCTGTCACCTATTCAAACAAAACAAAACGCATTCGCAAGACACATGATTCTAAGGAAACAGTCACCTATCCCTTACCTTTGCATTCCAGTCACTAACCACTTGAGCAACAAGTTTCTTGATAAGAACAACTTGATCAGTGATGGCAAGCATGGTGGCTGTAACTTCCTGGGTAGTATTTGGGGTTGGTGGGTGCAGTCGACGAGCTTCCAAAGTCGGTGATGTTAACTGAAGCTGAAAAAAAAAAAAATCTAATTATGGAATTTCTTACAATATATTTGATCTTTCTATGATGATCTATAACAGTCGTTCCTTACCTTTGGGTCACGACCCTAAAGGGTATCATGGAAATATTACTCCAAACAAATTTGCTAGCTTAGTGATAACATTAGGAATATAACATTAAGCTATATTTGTATTAGGTACATAAAGATGAATAATTTTGTTTTGTTTTTTTCTCTTAGCTTGAAAATAATGTCAGGGAATCATGGATGTGTCAAAGATTTGAGAAGGACATTAGGAACCAGTGATCTATAATGAAAGTAAATCAGCATTCAAAACAAAATATCTCTTTTACCTGTATGCTTTCAATTTTTTCACGAAACAATGCTCTTTGGCCATTCTGGTGTTCACTAATTTTATTGATTTCAATCAGAAGAGGTTCCCATCGGCTTCCACACTCAGATGACATCGAAGTCACACGTTCCAAGATTGTGGAAAAAGCAGAGTACCCCTGAAAGAACAAAATAATTATGTAAATATACTATAGTCTTCAAAGTATAATAAATTTCTTCAGTTATTCCAAATTGTACATCTTTTACCTTTAATAGCAAAAAAGAAATTCAGAATCAATGTTCTTATTTCTTATCCTATGGTTTAAGGATAGAAAAATTATTAAAACCCTAATATAATCCAACAACTGAAAATTTGGAAACTTTTGCACAACGCTGGAAGTCATACTAGCTCACATTAATCCAGAAAGATTAGGAATCAAATCTTGAAAAATTTCAGTCTGCCCTTAAAATATTTACCTGCATAGCTACACCTTTGATGAGCTCTACAACTGAGGCTTGAGTGATTGGTGGGATGCACAAGCTCATCTTGGATGGTGGCAGAGCAACTTCTCGTAAAGTTATGTTATTGTACCTGGAAATTAAAAGGTATATGGACACTTCCTCTTTATTACATTATTACAAGGAACTTACCACTGCATGACTTTATTAGAAATTAACTAAAGCCTAATCTCCAAGTGAAAATAATGAATCCCTACTCCAAAAGCCACCTGTCTTTACTTATAAACATTACTGCATGACTTAGCAACATATTTTAAAACAAATACCAACTTGAAGTTGCTTGCATAAAATTAAATCAAGATAACAAGGGAACCATTTCCAAACCCAGACTCACTTGAACACTGCCACTTGGTTCTTGTAGCCAAAGTACTGGAAGTGATCGTGGTGCAGGGAGTGTGTGCACCCTTGCGTTCCTCTCCTGTTAAAGCTCCCACCATAGAATCGCAGCTCCAGGTACTTGGCGAAGGATAGGGACCAGGTTTCCAAAGAGATTGGCACCATAGGGGTTACCTGCATGGCAGAGTCAGTCAGGTTATGAGAGTGAGAAGCTTGAATTGATATACAGAGGGAGGGGGACATGGGAGGGAAATAAAAAATGTAAGATATAAAGGAGAAAACTGTAAAGAAAAGGACTGATGATACTGAAAATGACAAAAAAAAAAGGATGATGAAGGGTAAAAAATGAAAAAAAATACAACACACAAATAAAGAATAATAAACAAATAGAAGAAAAACAAGAAAAAGATACCAATAGTGGAAAGAGAAAAAGAAATTCAGACTTCATAATCATACATGTACTTCCTTTAACCACACTTCCAACAGGAAAAGGTCCTTACCTCCCGACAGGTCTTACACCAGCTCCACATGAGGATTGTCCCGGCATTCGTGTCATCCAAATTGGTGTCAAGGCGTCGGAGGAGTACTTCCACACAGCCTGTGTCGTGGACAAACTTGCGGATGTGATCGACCACAGCCACTGAACACTCGCTGGACGGACAGGTGTAAGTCAGGCTGAAGCAGTAACGCTCCAGGAAGGCACCGAGTGGGATGTCATTCCTCCCGTAGAAATCCATGGTCAAGACCCTTGGGAAGGAGAAGGTCTAGGTTCTTATCAGAGGCCAAAAAAACAAGGACCGAAAATTTGTTAAACTACTCTGTAATATGTTGTATGTCATGATCCCCGATAAGACTGCTAGGATTACCAAATAAAAGTCAAATGTCAGAGATCTTATATCAAAAATAAATTTCTTACTGTAAGAATTCAAAGGAAAATAGCCTTTAAGAAATAAACATATACCAAATATTCTGCATGCTTCTGTAATGTTGTTCTTAAGCAAATTCATCTTTTCATGCATAGCAAGTCAAAGAACAAAAAAAATAACATACCATGGGTTAACACAAAATGCTGGAGGAGACTCAGAAGCCTGGGAATAACTTGAGAACAAAATAGACAGCCGCTGATGATTGAACGGATGAAGTGCATCCACCCTTCCATCAGAGGTCAACATCAGCCCACTCTGTCCACTCCAGAAGTCACTTACGGTGTTTTTGGCATTATTTGTTGCTGTATTTACTGAACCTTCAAGAAAATTGGAAACATTTACTTTGTTGTCAAACATTAACACATAAGAAAATGAAAAAAAGCTCATCTAAATATATAAAGTACATCAAATTTGAAAATAAACACATTGACAAACTTAGAGCCAACATTAAATTCAAACTCATACATACCTAGAGCATCCGAGGACAAGCCTTCAACCACAACTTTGGCATCAATGTCTTTGTCTATTGATAGCTGGTAATGCTTGCGATCCTTCAATTCCTTCTTTGTCATTTCACACTTGCATATATTTCTCCTCTGGCCTCCGCGTGCCCTGAAATCGGCTAACATCGCTCTCACATCCTTATCGGATATTGCTGTGGTCATCTTCATCTTTGTGAATTCGTGAGCGGACTTCACCTCCACATTTTGGTTTTCATCTTTTGATTCCTTAATCTCCATCTCCGAAAAACGTGGCTTTCGTGTGAACTTGTCCTTCTCCAGTAGCACAGAGAAGTACAAGTCCTTCTGGAAATACTTGCGCAAGATGCAGTTCCTCCCAGCTTCTGTCTCAAAGAAGGGAACAGTGTACTTGAGATATGGTGAACAGGAGAAAATTGTGTCCTCAAGAGCTTTGCGGAAAGTGTTGGAGAACTCAGTGACTGAGAGAGAGGTGTGTGTGGAGTCCAGTGGTGCCTCTTGCGGTGATGTTCCTGAGTTTAGGTAAGAGTGAAGAGGATCACTAAAGTCACTAATTGTCTGTGATAATTTTGCTTTGTCTGATGTTCCACTCGATGACACCGACACTTCTCCCGAACTTGACACAGGGTCCCTCTGGGAATTTAATGACCTTGATCTGTTAGTAGCACCTTGTTCTGCAGAAGCAGCTTCTCCATCTTCCTTTTTAGCACTGGACTTCGAGTTTTTTGTCACAGGTTCCAGATCTAAACTCCCAGCTTTGGGACCTGTCTTCAGGTCTTCCTCGAACACCTGATCTTCGAGGTCAAAGCTCTCCGATGGAAGGGGTGGGATGAGTGTATATTCATCCATCAAGAAGGCTCTTTCAAGTCTCCAGTTATACACTGCATAAACCATGAAGTACATTATCCTTTTCACTCGTTTCAGCTCTGCATTGGTCGCTCCTCGTAGTATGATTGTACATCCCAGGTGCATGGCACAACCATCAAAGAACATCAGAGTCTTCTGCTTGTTCTTTCCAGGCATTGGATAAGATCTTGTGTAAAAATTGTGGCACATGCCCAATGTTGGTCGTGTTAGCTGAGCATCAATTGAGGAGACAACTTCTGCTTGAGTGCATCTTGCAACACGCTCCATTACTGAGGGTTTCACATTCATCACCAGTGTAATGCCATGAGCCTGGTAAGAATGTAAAAAAGTGTAATACCAATGTATTAATCAAATTCTATATACTATGCCTGAAATTATATTCTTACAATTTTCAATATTACAACAAACATCTGCAATATTCTTAGGAATGGCTTACAGCTACCATACTTCCCTAAAATACAATTCGTCAAAGAGGGAAATAGATAAAAAAAATCTGTATTTCACCTAAAAACTTTTCCTTTAACCATAAATCTCACCTGGAGGTACTCTCGTGCTAAGAAGGCAATGCTTTTCTCCACAAGTATTATGTCTGGTTTGTAAGAAACGATCTTGGCCACAACATTTTTTAGATAGTCCGCTTCCTGAGAGAGTAAAGGGAAGAAATCCTTTTATTATGACTACTTACATATTTTTCCTGAATTTTGTATATGTACATTATGTTTACCATGAAATCAGTGAAGAATTAAAGGGGGTACAAGTTATGAAAATTGTGTAATTCAGATCACGAGAAAAAAAAAGTTTATTTTTAACCCAATAGAGGTGTCTCCCCCCCTTGCATTAATTTTGGTTATCCTCAAATTTCATCAATTTTTTCTCTACATGTGGGATGGTCACTGTAAGGATTTTAAGTAAGATACTTTTATATTTTCCATTAAACATCTACAAACTTTTGTATCTTTATGCATCAAATGGTAAAGTACAGTTTAAAAAAGTATGATTTTGCTATAATTTAGATCATTCAAACTTATACTGGAAAATGGAAAATGAAAGAAAATGGATTCCTAATAACATCAATTTTCAATTGCCTTCTTGTTATAATACTTTTTTTGTTCATTTGACAGGGGAAAAAATGAGTTTCTGGTGAGGCAGCTTTACATCTATTGACACCACTGGAAAGGCAAGGGAAATGCATGGAAATGAGCTGCCTTCTTTTTTCATCTTTCTTGCTTTTATCTTATGAAAAGAAAAGAAAAGAAAAGAAAAGAAGAGAAAAGAAAAGAAGAAAAGAAAAGAAAAGAAAAGAAAAATAGAAAAGAAAAGAAAAGAAAAGAAAAGAAAAGAAAAGAAAAGACAAGAAAAGAAAAGAAAAGAAAAGAAAAGAAAAGAAAAGAAAAGAAAAGAAAAGAAAAGAAAAGAAAAGAAAAGAAAAGAAAAGAAAAGAAAAGAAAGGAAAAAGGAAATGAAAGAAGACAAAAGAAAAGAAAGGAAAAGAGAAAAGAAAAGAAAGGAAAGGAAAAAGAAAGGAAAAAGAAAGGAAAAAAAAGAAAAGGGAACTGAAAAAAGGAAAAGAAAAAAGACAAGAAAAGAAAAGAAAAGAAAAAAAAAGAAAGGAAAGAAAAGAAAAAAGAAAAGAAAAGAAAAGTAAAAGAAAAATAGAAAAATAGAAAAAAGAAAAGAAAAGAAAAGAAAAGAAAAATAGAAAAAAAAGGAAAAGAAAAGAAAGAAAAAAGAAAAGTAGAAAAAGAATCAAACGACAACCTGAAGCAGCAAGTTGTCCAATGCCAAGAGCTTATTATCATTCCCTCGCTGGTAGTCAATGGTCGACGCCACGAGGAGAATCTGGGGGTCAGTGAGGCGAGTGGCCATGGACCTGTCAGCGACGTTCTTGGTGCAGACGGCCCCATTCAGGATCTGGCACTCGCCTCTGCTGCCTCCTGGAACTTTCTTGAACTGAACGTATCTGGAGGTGAAAACAAGAGACAGGATTCAAATTACAGATAGTCCCCTACTTAAGAACATTCTACTTATGAACATTTCATACATACAAACAAATTTTTTTAAATACTAAAGTCCAAAAAATTGTTTGAAAGATGCTAGCAAACTTCAAATTTCCCGGGCGCGAATATAGTTCAAGAGTCTGGTACTGTATAAGGTATATTCGTACTTATTGGGATTTATTTACAGGTATTCTTAATGTAACCAAAACTTTAAAACAATGGGAAAAAAAAGTAATGGAGACCCGACAAATGAACTTACAAACAGCCTCTCGGTCCCCATTATGTTCTTAAGTTGGGGACTTACTATATTTTGGATTTCTCTACGGAGCTGAGCATGAACACTGCTTTTCTGGCCATTTCTAATTCTTAATCTTTTTCAGACTGTAATTACAACATATTCATCAAAAATTATGTATAAACAAAAACTACAAAAGATGATATGAAATCCATCTTTCATAAAAATCTGACTCAGTGACGATTTTACTGCACCTTAATCCTCAAGAATATTATGGTACTTGACAAAAAACATTTTAGGCCTTCAACTATTTCTTATAGGATGATTTTTGTACAGGACTAAGTATCTTTTTATATTGGCAAATAATTTAAAAACATGTTTAAATCTTCTTCAAAGTGAGAAACATGAGAAAAGAAGGGAATTTTCAACAACAACAGAACAGCAAAAACTTACTGCCTGATATCCATGTCATCACTATCGTTCTTGACATCGGGCCTTATGATGTCGGTGACAGTGTGAACAATCGGGAGGATCACCTCAGCCCACGAGGGGGACAGGCCACCCGAGTCGAGGAGCTGGCAGAGTAAGGCTGTCTCATGGGCGTTCCACATTGCACTAGAAATAAAACCATACAAACAGGATTAACCAAATATTTCTAAAATCTTAATTTGCATTCAAGATATATGCTTGTCTAATTCTTGAGATCCCCTTACCTATAATTCACAAATAAAATTATAAAATTTAAAACAAACAAACAACTTCCTTGAACCTCTTGCTACTGAAGTTAAGACACAAGATATTCCCTTCTCAAAAGTCAGAGCAAAATATGGTCAAAAAAAGATAAAAATTCAACTTGCCAAACACTTACTTTAATCTCTGTTGCATTAGAAATTCTTCATCATTCTGTGTGAGTTTCTCCTCCTGCGTCCAGCCAGACAACCTAGGATAGGGCTGACTGCTATCATGTCCCCTTAGTGCCTGCCAAGAGTGAAGAACAGGTTGGAGAATGAGAGAGGAATGGATTTACTTTAATAACATAATTTTATATATATATTTCCTGCATTTCTGTGTTTTGTAGTCAAGCTAAGAGACAGGCTTCAATTTTATTTTCATGAATATCCTTCACATAAAGGTTAGCATTCATAACTACTAACTAGCCATCAAAATATTTCAAAGCACAAGCAAAGCCCATTAGTAGTAATTTCCCTCTGGTCAAACCTGGGTCCAGCTGGAAGACCATGCAACCGTACCTGTAACACTTCATCTGACATAACAGCTGCTGAGTTCATTACATCTCCTGAGAAAGGAAGTTGGGCATTGAAACTGAGAACGGCAGATACTGTCGTTGAGTATGGCACTTGCCCAGAAGTAGATGCCATTCCAGGACTTCGTGCATCCACCTGGTCATTCTCAGGACTGCCATGCCTAAGAGGACAAAAGATGCATGTGTAAATAATAACTTAGACACTTAATGATATATTGTTTAACTTAGAGTTGTGTATCTTATACTCCAAGAAATTCTCATTTTTTGCCAACCATTATATATACATATATATATATATATATATATATATATATATATATATATATATATATATATATATATATATATATATATATATATATATATATATATAGATATATAGATATATAGATATATAGATATATAAATATATAAATATATAAATATATAAATATATAAATATATAAATATATAAATATATAAATATATAAATATATATATATATATATATATATATATATATATATATATATATATATATATATATATATATATGTATATATATATGTATATATATGTATATATATATGTATATATATATGTATATATATGTATATATATATGTATATATATATGTATATATATATGTATATATATATGTATATATATATGTATATATATATATGTATACATATATATGTATACATATATATGTATATATATATATGTATATATATATGTATATATAAGTATATATAAGTATATATAAGTATATAAGTATATAAGTATATATATATATATATATATATATATATATATATATATATATATATATATATATATATATATATAATTTGTAAGAATCATGGATATTTATTGAATCTCCAACATACCTCCTTTAGGTCCGTAGTCACTTCAAACCGAAGCCCCTGGGGAGGTTAATGCCCATATTGAAAACAACTATATTAAGCAGTGTTGGTAGGAATATCCTTTTGATAATATTACCTTGAGACATTTGGAGGCTTCCTCATGGACACAACATTGTCTTTTACATTGAGGTCCAGGCAATAGTTGGAGGTAGAAGAGGTGATGGAGGTAGGTGTGTCAACAGTGTGTGCTGGCTCTTCCTTGTGGACTTTGCTACTGCCATTAGAATCTACTTCTCCCTCTGTGTAATATTCAGTTTAGTGTAAGCAATCTTAACATAAATCATGATTATATTATATGTGCTATAAAAATGTACATAAGCAGATATAATGCCATGTAACAATGTAAGTATTTATATTAACCCAGCTTGCAAACTTATGAACAATTTGAAGCTCACATATTTCCAAAATCACGCTGATAAACAATAACATACCAAACTGATCAGCCAAATAGTCAAGACTTACCAATACTCTCTGCCATTGAAGTAATCTGTTTCACCCATAAAGGTTCCTGGCCTCCATCTTGTGCACGATTCAAGCCCTCCTGAGCAGTCTGTTCACTCCCACCTGTACTCGGTCTCATTGGACGGTACAACACGTAGTCATCTACAAAGACCTGTTCCAGTTGTGAAATGCATACTACATATCCTGCTTCTAGCAATGCCTGACCAATGGCAACTGCTGATGCCCTGTAAGCAAAAGAAGTATTCTTATACCTAGTACATCCTGATCATTGTATACCAAACAGATATTCAAATAGATAATATATACTATTCAGGAATATCATGAAACCATAGATTCCCAGTCACTCTTGCATTAATAAGTACCCTAACCAATCCAAATCACTAAGGATATGTGACATATTACCCTCTTTCTAAAAACTTGGGCTAAAGATAACCACTCAAATACCTGCTGGAAGCTTTGTCATTTGCCAAAAGCCATTCAATGAGATCACGACCGACAAAACAGTTGTGGAAAGACTTTAGCCGGTGTCTGTGGGAGGCCAATGGAAGACCCCCAACACCACCAGCCATCTGGGACCACAAGGAATGCAGCTGTTGGGAGTCACGCAGGAGAAGCTGCCTCTCTGCTGTCATCTGGTCACTGTCCCTTTGGCCGCCAAACACCTGGAAATCCCCACTAGAGTACCTGGAAGCCATAATTTTTCTATTTAGTACAAGAACTTTAAAGTTATATGAGATATAATGTTTTCTGTATCTCTTGAAATTTATGTGCAATGCCTAGTGTACATGTATAGATGTAAAACTTTAAAATAACCAATTAAAAATATCCCTCTGCTAATCACAAAACTAACTAACTAAAATACAGAAAATACCAATAAAATAAACACTGAATATTTTAATATACTTTTCTATATTTCCACCACAATTGGCATTTTTCAGTTCTGACACTGCTTTCAA